GATTTTATTTTATTTTTTCAAATTACAAACTCACAACGTTTTTCGTATGAGTTTATAAGTTCACAATTCCTTAAAGTGAAGTTATAAAATCACAATTTTGATTTTATTTTATTTTTTCAAATTACAAACTCACAACGTTTTTCGTATGAGTTTATAAGTTCACAATTCCTTAAAGTGAAGTTATAAAATCACAATTTTGATTTTATTTTATTTTTTCAAATTACAAACTCACNTTGTCATTTTTTTTCAGTGAATGTTTTGTATGTTTGTTTAGTGAATAGAATTGAATTCTGTTCATTTCAATTTCAATTCCTTGCTATTGTTCAACAAATGGAACAAAAGATTCAAAATGATAAGTTATGTTTGTTGATGATAGAAATCTCAACAGGGGAATTTATTTATACGAATCTTTGAATTTTTTTCCTATTATTATTACTTCAAGATTCTGTTTATCAAGTTGTGTGTGTGTGTGTGTTTTCATTTCATTTCATTTCATTTTTTTCATTACTTTATCGTTCTATTCTGAACATCACGAAGAGAAAAGATGGCCAAAAAAATGAAGAAAATTAAAGAGAAAAAAAAACCATGTTCGTTGTTGTAGTTTTTGTGTTGTTGTTATTATTTGGATAAAGAGTTCCAAAATTGAAAAAAATATATAACAAACACACAGAGAGAGAGAAAAGAAAATCTCAGCAATTATCTGTGTGTGTGTGTGTGTGTGTTATGTTATCAAATAGAATTCTTTACTGTTGATGTTTCATTTGTTTCTATTGTATTGTATTGTTGTTCATGTTGTTGTCGATTGAACATTGTAAGGAAACAAAAAAAAAAATAAAAAAATATCGAATAGATTCAATGGATATTAGACAAGTGAGATAGTACGGAAGAATCATCAAACAACAGCAAGCCAGTAAAAAACACAACCAATAATAATAAAAAAAACGAAAGAAATGAAATGAAAGCTAATTAATTTCTTGTAAACCTATACAAGATATTTTGAACAAAAACAGAAAAAAAAACGAAAAAAATACGCCTTTTGGCGCCATTGTTTGCTGTCAATAGAAACAAAAAAAAAAACATGAAGAAAACCAGCACAGAACAGTCAGTCAGTCAGTCATTGGAGATCCAAAATAGCTGATAATGATTATTATTATTATGATGATTGGTCCAGAGAAACGAAAAAAAAAATTGCGATCTCAATCCAGAATAGCAATAATGATAATAATAAGAAATGAAATGAATGAATGAATGGAATTTCGTTTAAAGAGAATTCAAAAGAATTTCTTAAATTCTTGCAATTGTTATATTAGCCAAGAAATGAATGGACAAGAATTTGTCCATCCTTTGGAATTTCGATTCGATTCGATTCGATTTGATTACTTTTTTATTGTTGTTTTTGTTGTTGTTAAAGAACAAAGTTGAAATAAAAAAATAATAAGTAATGTTTGTGTTTCAAGTGATAAGTTTTGTAACTTGTTTTTTTTTCGTTATATTTTGCTATGTTTTTGTTGTTGTCATTCTGTTTATAATTTTTCTTGTTTTTTTCTTGTTTTTTCTTATTAGATTTGTTGTCATTGAATCATAGTTTTTCTCACTTCTTAGATTAGATAACTGTCTTGATTTACTTTATCAATAGATAATATCTATCTAGAATCTTTTTTTCAGTTGTCAACAACAATATTATTATTATGGTGAAGTTTAGTTTAGTTCAGTTTTTTGCTTGTTTTTCCTTCATTTGGGATTAATTGAAACAAACATTTTTTTTGTTTGTGAAACAGATTGTGTATATGTCATGTTTTTTGTTCAGAAATGTATGTATGTGTTGTTTATTCTTGAATTCATCATCAATTTTTATGGTATTTTGGTCATTTTCTTGTAACATACAGAGGGTAGAAAATGAAAAAAAAATCCAAAATCCTCAGGAATTATAGAAAATGTATAATGTATTTGTGCAAGAAAATCTTGGTTTAGTTTCCAAAAAATCAAATATATATTCTTGTTTTTTTTATTCTGTTGTTGTTCGGAATAGAAAAAAGTTGAATTTTGTTTTTCTTCATTTATTTTTATTTTGTTTTTGTTTTTTTGATGAAAATTCAAATGAAAACAAAACAAGATTGTTCTACTTGTTTTATTAAGTTTGAGTTTCGTT